GTAGAATTGTAGCAAGAACCCCCCCCCCCCTTCACCTGCTATGCAGGAGTGCCATTTAGCAGATCTGGCACACTGTAACATGCATAAGGAGAGAGACTTCAAAAGGAAAATGCGTGCCATCAACTAAGAGAGGGCATACCTCTAGTCATGCAGCTGAAATAAAAAGACTTGTATATTATTCTCCACCAGGAGCTCTGGAAGTCATCATGAATCACAAGGGAACGGACTTGACATCTGAGACACACTAGAGTTAACAAGGTTTGATTTGAAAAAAGAAAAAAAAAAAGCACGAAAAGGACTGAGCAGGTTTGAATCAAATCGAGTCTCAAAAGCGAGCTAGGAGACTTAAGAAATATTATTTGAAAAACAATGTGAGATTTCCCAGCTCAACCTTTTGCAGCTCTTGTACTGCCCATTACAGAGGAAGGTGTTGACGCTGCCTTTAAGCAGAGACACATTGCTGGAGCATTAGCGCTTCACAGCAACACACGTTGTCCTTGAGCAGTACTGCAGGCGGGTTTGCCCCACACTTACAATACACTCTGTGATCCCTTTTGTGGATATACTGCATATGTAATAGCATCTTTCATCCGAGGATCTAGAAGGCTGTCAGCTCATTGATTTAACCTCAGAACACCAAGTGGTATTAACAGGCTGTTCCTACAAGCAAGAAATCTTTGCAACAGATATGAGGTAGCTGGTACCTCTGGGCTACCAATATGGGCCTAAGTTTCAGAGTTCTCAACACTCACAGTATTTTTGATTTTTTTTTTTTTCATTTTCAAACGTTACTTTCTAATTCCAAAGTGGGTTAGTTGGTCAGATGGGAGCTCCATGGAAGTTCAGGTTTCCACGAATCAGCGGTTTTTAATTATTGTTTTAAAAAACCCTGTTCTTCCAGTAATTTATAGCAAGCCCGAACCCATACTCTTCTCACACAGGTGGGAAGCGTGAATGATCCCCCTGCACTTCACTGGAGTTATCCCAGTGTCCATTTACATGAAAGGAAGCTCGGATGACAAGTTCAGGCAGCACTAGAAGAGGCTCTGATCCCCCACCTTGCTATGGGACAATAGTTTTATTTTTGCTGTTTTCTCGCCTTTCTGGAGGTGGTGCTTCAGACCTGGATGTCAAGAACAAGTGAGTTTAATGGTCCCATTTGAGTTTCTGTTTGTCTCAGCTCCCATCGCATCAGGCCTGCTGCAGCCCAAGGCAGTCCTTTCTCGCCCCCGCGGAACGCCCCGCTGGCAGCCAGACGCACAGCCCCTGCTGCCTGCCACGGAAAAGTTCTTAACTCCTACACCCTGCTCATTTAAAAACAGCACCAGCTTGGGCGGGATGGCACACAGGCGCGGTTGCCCTGAACACACACCCTTTGAACCCTTCACATCCTGCTGCTCTAGACACAAGCTTCCTGCGTGCCGCTACCCACCTGCCATCTCCTCCCCATTTCCGTGACTGCAGAAAACCTCTCCCAGCCTGCTCCTGACAGGTCATCCCCTTTCCTCTTCCCACATCCAGCACGCCCCATTCTCCATCCCCACTCAGCCCCTTCTCCCCCTCCCTCCATTACCACCATACCTCTCGGTCAGGGGCCACCCGACCCTCTACTCCTCCTTTGCCCTTACAAGAGGTATCTCTTCATCTTCCTCCTCTCCAAAGCAGCTTCCTTCCCCTTGTGCCATATACCTTCCTTGCATTTTTTTCCCAGACCAGGATCCTCCATTTCCTACCCATGCAAGGAGCTAGGTGCACATCCAAACTGCTTCTGTGCTGGTCTGGAAGCCAGGCTGCTCCCAGCACCCCATCTTTCGGGGAGGGACACATGCTGACACCCAACTGTATGAGTAATGGTCAGAGTCACCCAGGAGATCGACACTAGGCTGGGTATGGAAACGGGTAAACTATGCAGCAAGCTCTGCCCTCCGTTCCTTTTTACATCCATCCATCACTTTCGGTTTTCCAGTTTCTCCCCTTCAGTGAATACATGCAACTTTCTTGGGAAAGCCCTGCAACGGGAGGGAGGAAGGAAAGGAGTTGTCCCTGGCATGAAAAGCCAGGGAAGAATAAAGGCAAAGACAGGCTCTGACGTGAAGCAGGTAAATTAGAGGTGGGGAAGGAAAAGGTGCCAGCACGTGCACCCCCTTTCCCTATGGGGTACCAGTCAGAGGAGGGCAGCCGTAAGGAAAATGGACCCGCGCACAATATTTGGCCACGACAAGGGCCTTTTTTATAGGAGAGGGGCATGGGGAGACATGTGGTCTCTGCCAGGAAAGGATGAATAGGCAACCCTGGAAGA